TGCAGTAGATAGTGATGGCTTTTTTAAAAGTTGTGTTAAAATATACATTACAAGAAGTGTACCATTTTGACCATTTGTAAATATCAATTCAGTGACATTAAGTATATTCAGAATGTTGTGTAACCATTACCACGGTCTATTGTCAAAACTTTTTCATTATCTGAAACAAAATCCGTTAAGAATTAACTCCCATTCCCCCTGCTGACTCCAGTCCCTGGTAAACACCATTCTGTTTTCTGTCTCTACGAGTTTACCTATTCTAGATACCTCACATAAGTGGAATTATGCAGCATTTGTCTTTTTGTGACTGGTTTATTTCACTTAACATAATACTCCTAATGCTTATCCCTATTATAGTATGTGTCAAATTTCATCCCTTTTTAAGGCTGAATAATATTCCATGATATGTATATATCACATGTTGTTTATCTGTTCTTTTGCTGATGGAAAGTTGGGCTGTGAGTAATGCTATCTGTTTGAGGCCCTGTTTTTTATTCTTTTGATTATATATAGAGTAGAATTGCTGTAATAATTCTGTTTAACTTTTTGAAGAATTGTTAAACCATTTTCCACAATGGCTGCTTCATTCCCAACAGCAATGCACAAGTATTCCAATTTCTCTACATTCTCACTAACACTTGTTATTTTTTATTTTTTTGATAATATCATACTGGGTATAAATTGGTATCTCACTGTGGTTTTGATTTGCATTTTTCTAATGACTAATGATGTTGAGCATCTTTTCATATGCTTATTGGCCATTTGTGTATCTTCTTTGGAAAATATCTATGTCCTTTGCCCATTTTTTAATTGGTTTTTGTTGTTGAGTTGTGGAGCTTCTTAATATATTCTAGATCAAATTCCTTATCAAATACATAATTTGCAAGTATTTTCTCCCATTCTGTGTGTTGTCTTTTCACTCTCTTAGTAGTGTCCTTTGTTGCACAAAAATTTTTAATTTTGATGAAGTTCAATTTATTTATTTTTTCTTTTCTTTTTCTTTCTTTCTTTTTTCTTTTTTGTATATGGTATAAAGTAATGGTCCAATTTCATTCTTTTGCATATTCTTGCCTTCCTCTCTGTCATCTTTCTTTTTGTCACTTTTTGCTTTGATTTCAGAAAAGAGTTTACCCAGTTTTCCTTGACATTGGTTGGGCTCCCAGACTATTTTCTTTAGTCTATTACTGTATGCGCAGATGCAGTTGTGTCCACGCTTTTGCCTAAACTCCTGCCACTCCTGGTGTCAGAATAACTGTCGTTCTCAACACGTCATCTCCCTTGGTGTGGTCTATGTTGCGCTTCTCTTTCCAGCCTCTTCCCCTGCCGTGCCTCCAAACCCTTCTGTTCTAGTCATGGGGAATAAAGGATGCTTCCCCTATGGTTCCATGCTCTCTCCTGCCTCCTGACCCTCACAGAGCTTCTGCGTCCCTGCCTGTGACACTCCCGTGCATCCTCAGGCCTGGGCTTCAGCAGTGCTCCCTAGACAGCCACACTGACTCCTGCCCCAGTGAGCTCCCCTTTGCTCTGTGCACTGTGGGAGGCAGTTCATTGCTCTGTGTTGTAATCATCGCCTTATCTGTTTTTCTAACCAGACTGTGAATTCCACTAAGTAAAGGATTGTTCTTTTAACTCTGTGCTCCCTTATATGTTAGAGCGTGTATCTCATAAAAGATGTTCACAGAGTGTTGGTTGAATGAATGCTTGAAAATCTGCACTTGTGAGTGATTAAACGCAAAATGGCCTGGAGATTTGAGCAAGATGTGTGATTTGGTGTTCCTCTGTGGATCCCAAGCTGAAATAACTGCTAGTTAGTGCTTGGTTTCTTCTCCCTGTGCACTATGTCTCATGAAAAAGCTGAATCTAACTTTCTGTGTGATTAAGTATGTGGGATTTAAAACAAACAAACAAACAAACAAACTCATTCTTGAGAGTTAATGTGACATTGAGGTTGTGTAGAGTTGCTGGTCTGAGGCTGTTTATTTTGTAGGGTATGTGTGGCATGAAGACAGAGCAGCTCTGAAGTCATCTCCCTTCAACATACGTATAAATCCCCAAAGGAGCTTTTCTTACACTTGAATGCCCTCAGTAGAGCCGTGATTAGTTGTGAAGGATTAATAAGCACATACTTTGAAATTCTTTCGAATAAGCGTTCTTTTGAGATAGACTTTTTCTATTAGAAAAAATATTACAGGATTACTATAAAAGTATATTCTTGCATGATTCATGTCACAAGTAAATAGATAAATAGATAGCCCTGTGTTTTGTTGTTTTTGTTAATAAATAAAACAAATACTTACAGATATGAAATCTGCCTGTCTTTAGAGTTTAATTTTTTTTCCTCAAAAACCAGAGATTAGATTTTTTTTTTCAGTTTGAAAAAAGATAAACTTAATTTTTTCAGTAGCCAGTCTAAAGTTACTCCTAGTTGTAGAATTTGGTTATTAGGGGGGAAAGGGGGATTGGAGACTGAATGTATGGTATACAGAGAGAAACACTTTCTCCTGTTGTGTTAATCAGTATTGCTACATTTTTTCCCAACTTCTTGTTGTTGTTTGTCAGATTAAATTTATAGCATTTAATAAAACACACACACACACACACACACACACACACACGACATCTGTGGTACTTCATATTCTGATTGATGGCTTTTCAAGCTGTTGACAAGACTTTACAGACGACACTAGAGGTGATATTGGTGGAACTATTCTTCCCCACTGCTGGTGTTTCCTTGCACGTGGCAGGAGCTCTGCCAGCGCAGCACTCCTGATGCCTTCTGCAGCCCAGGCATGAGCTGCGTGGGAGGAGCGCTGAGCAGGCATAGCCCAGCCCCTTCCGTGGAGCTGAGTGCCTGTGGCAACGCTGGGCCTCCATCCTGTGAGTTTTACAGCAGCACCAGCATGTGGGAGGCCTTCTGGCTTTCTAGTGTGGCCTGTGATTGGGCGGGTGAGTCTGTTTAATTCTGTGCTTCGGTATTAGCAAGCCTATTGTTCCTGGACACCCAGACCTTACTGGGCGGTCTCAGGTTGATCAGTAATAAAGGTGGTGCTTTGACAGCCTGTCTGCCTTTCTCCTTGAATTCATCGCTCAGGTGGTGCAAAGCTCAGGTCGGACGCATGGTGCCAGTCAATATGCCAGTGTCTTTGCGTATAGCTTTAATTTCTCACAACAGTCCTGAAAGTGAGTTTTATCATCTCCTCTTTACAGATGAGGCCAGTGAGTTCTATGAAGGTAAATCATTCTGAGTGATCATGTTAGGTTTGACACCCTGGTCAGGCTAACTCTCAAACTCCTGACCATTAGGACACACTGCCAATGAAATATCACAGATAATATAAATCACCAAATAATACAGAAGCTTGTGTTCCTTTGTAGTCTAGCATTTTCATAGCTATTCATACAGACAGCTTAATCTAGCCTGCAAGTCCCTGAATACCCAGGTCCTTGCCCACCTCCCCCAGTTACACCAGCTGCCTTAACTTTGTCCAAAGCCTTCACCTCTTTTACCGTCCTGGGCTTCCTGTATTCTCACCTATGACTAGAATGCCTTTTCCCTCCAACCCTGCCCCTTCCCTGGTTAGCTCCCACTTGCCCTTCAGGTATCAGCTCATATGTCACTTCTTCAAACTGGCCTCCCACGACCACCTGTCTACACAGTGATTTCTGCCAGCCATCTGATCTTTCCTTTACTACCCTGGTCATCATTTGTGATTATGTATTCATTTCAAGCCTATAATCTGCAATCAACTGAAGCCCCATAAGCTCAACAGCCAGTTTTCTTTGGTTCACCATTGTGAACCTAGTGCCTCACACAGTGCTAGCACAAGGCTGACACCTCCCAGATGGTTGTTGGGTGAATAGTGGACATGGTGCTTGGCAGCATGAATTATCCTTGAGGTTTTTGCCTGCTGTGTTCTTACAAAGGTAAGATTAGTAGCTTAGTTAAAGGTAGCCTCTTTCCTGATAATCGTTAAAAGAAAAAAAAAATCATATAACTGAAATCCCTAACCTCTGTTTGAGGCTTTAAACTATTGGAAGCATAGAATGGATATCCAAGTATGCACAACTAGAAAGCTTACTTAGGCCTGTCGTCATAATAAAAGACAAAACCGCCTCAGCGGTGGAGCCTGCTTTATGTGGTCCTCAGAGCATGGGATGTGGAGAGGAACTTTTCTCATTATATTTCAGTATCAGTTAATATTTATTAAATATCTGCTTCTTCTTGGTTTTGTATATCCGGGAAGAACATCGTAAAGCTTGGACTAGTCTTCCAAGACTATTCAATAGGGAATACACTAACACCTAGCTTACATTTTAATGTTATTCCTAATAAATTGCTTATTTGTTTTTATATAAAATGAGTTCAGGGCCGGCCCGGTGGTGCACTGGATAGTGCGCCACTTGGGAAGCGCGGCAGCGCTCCCGCCCGAGGGTTCGGATCCCACATACGGACCGGTTCCCGCTCACTGGCTGAGCGAGGCGCGGGAGCAACGCCGAGGGTTGCGATCCCGTTGCCGGTCCCCGGTCCGGTACAGGGGCAACACTGAGGGTTGCGATCCGTTGCCGGACACGGAAAAAGACAAAAGACAAAAAAAATAAATAAATAAAAAATAAAATGAGTTCAGTAATAGGGTAGTGGGTGAGTTAATTTTGTTTCCTAGCCAAGCATAAAAAAATAAGATAACGTGTTATGAAAAGATCCAAATGTTGACAGTTTGGGAGCAAGATAAAGAGCTTTTCCATATGCTTTTTCTCCTCCCCTGTTGCACTCATTTAACATAATTAATATCTTGAAGGGGCCAGAACAAGACATTTCTGCACAGTTAGTTTTCCATCCCTCAGACTTTAAAGTGTTGATCACGGCAGAATTTCAGTTTTCTGGCCAGCTGTTTTCATGGAACAACTGCCCCTGGATAGTAGGATAGCAGGCAACTGAGCCAAGGTTTGCATGACAGTAACATTGATCACATGCCGTCAGGTGTTTACTGTTTTGATGTGACAGCTGATGGTGCTCTTTTTGTCCTCCCCACCCCCATTGACACAGGGCATTGATGTACGAGATGCTCCTCTGAAGGAAATAAAGGTGACTAGTTCTCGACGATTCATAGCTTCATTTAATGTTGTGAATACAACAAAACGAGATGCTGGAAAGTACCGCTGCATGATTCGCACTGAAGGAGGTGTCGGAATATCAAACTATGCAGAATTGGTAGTTAAAGGTATTTAATGTGTTTTTATACCCTATAATAGTCTATTAAAATAGATATGTTAGATGGTCGTTAGTTCATTATTTATTTAAAGCTCAAACTTATTCTTGTCTGTTTCTGAACAGTAGTTTGGTGACAGGCTATATGGATGGATTGCATTTTAAGTGCAACTTGTGCACCTGAGCAATATTTTTGAAAAATGTATTTTATTTATGTTGGTTTAGTTGCATACAGAGCAATGAATGTGCTCTTGGCAAGGTCTTCTGCCAACTCTATATACAGAGATTAAAACCTATAAATTTTTTTAAGGAATAAAATTTTTTGCGAGTAGAAAATCACTTAAAATGCAAATATTCACCAGTCAGAGTGTTTATGATAGCAGGGTGGTTAATAAAATGGAGCAGTGTCAGTATAAAAATGTTCTGTCATATCACACAAGCCATATTGATAATACTGTGTTAACATTCATAATGTCCAAGTTACGTTCCATTTCTGTGTTTTGTATGACTGAAAAATTGAGTCATATTCAAGAGGGTGTTGTAGGAGGGAAAAAAGGAGAGGGGACATAAGTTTCCGTTAGCTGGTTTAATGTATTTTTGTGGACTGAGGAGGAGTTCATGGTATTAAGCTGTCTGTAGTCCCAGACAGAATAGTTTAGACTTTTAGGTGTACCATGAGGCATTTTTAGACAACTTGTTGGCCATTGCTTTCCCTTCCTAGGAGAGCAGAATGATGTTTGCGTTCTAAAGTTCTTTCCCTGCATTTGTTACATGTGAGGCATACAGTTGATCTCTCTTGGATTGGCTATTCCTTTTATCAGCAAATTTCTCCATGTAGGCAGTTTTAAAGGCTGTTGGGCTCAAATCCCACTCTAGCTGAGTGGATGTGGGCCAGTGGCTTGCCCTTCCTGTGCTTCTGTTTACTTGTGTATAAAATAGATATGATAATGTTACCTACCTTATAGGGCTATTTGGAGGATCAAATGCAAAAACGTGTATGTGTGACACTTAGAACAACACACGTAGTGAGCAGCCTGCACGTGTCAGGGCCGCGATGAGAGGAGGAGGAGGATGGAATGATCTTGCTCTCTGATCCAGTATATCAGTGATCTCCATTTGGGAATTCATGTCAGAACTCCCTTTCAAGTTTCAAAAAAATATAAATGCCTGCTCACCTATTCTCCCTTCCTCTTCCCTCCATACCCCTACTGAATCAAAATTACCAGGGATTATAAAGTCTGTAGGTGATTTGGGCATGTGCGTCTGTTATGAGATCACTGCTGCCAGTATTAGTCAGACATGGCTTATGAGAGAAGATGCTTGTCAGTGAGCCTACCTGAAGAATTATTAATCTGCAGCAATGACTAACATTCAGTGTATGCAAGTACACATCGAAATATCTACTTGTATGATATATTTTGCCACATGAGATTCTTACACACTTTGGTTTGTACTGAAACACGAACCAGTCTGTCTGGCTAATTTTTGACTTTAAAATCTATAACAAAAATTAAAATTTTCATAGTTATATACACTCTACCCTGTTGAAGGCTCTCTGGGGAGTCACCATGCAGACAATGGATACTGGTTTATGAACAAATCCAGTAGAACGGCCTAGGTGTTTGATATAGTTTGGATATGTTTGTCCTCCCAAAGCTCATGTTGAAATCTGATCCCCAATGTGCCAGCACTGGATGGTGTTAGGGTCGTGGAGGTGGATCCCTCATGAATAGATTAATGCTCTCCCTGGGGGGTGGGTAGGGAGTGAGTTCTCACTCTATTAATTCCTGCAAGAGCTGGTTGTTTAAAGGAGCCTGGCACCTCTACCACCTTTCCTGCTTCCTCTCTCCCTACGTGATCTCCTTGCACCCACTGGCTGTCTGTTGCTTTCCTCCATGAGTACAAGCAGACTGAGGCCCACGCCAGATGCAGCTGCTCCAGAATCCTGAGCCAGATAAACCTCTCTTCTTTATAAATTACTCAGTCCCAGTTATTCTGTGATAGCAACACAAAAATGAACTGAGACAGTGTTCCCATGGCTGAGTTCATCATCAGCATTACTATTACTACCATTATATAACTTTCATCTTGATTCAGTCTTACGGTTGTTTTCCCTTTTTTGATTTGCAGTTGTCATCCTGCTTCACTGTGACCAGCTGGTGCCCATGTGATTGAGGCATCATGCTTCATGATCAGTACAGGTTGAGCATTCCTAATCCTGAAACCCAAAATACTCCAAAATCTGAAACTTATTGAGTGCTGACATGATGCTAATGGAAATGTTCATTGGAACATTTTGTATTTCATATTTTTGGATTAGCAATGCTAAACCAGTATATATTCTGCAAATATTCCAAAATCTGAAAAAATCAAAATTGAAACACTTTGGGTCACAAGCATTTTGGATAAGGGTTACTCAACTTGTATGATGCAAATATAGTAACTTCTCTGAAAATTGCTTCTGTAGAAAAGTTAATTGTTGGGAGTTATAAATAAATCAGAAATTTTTAGTCTGCCCAAAAAAACATACACAGAGAATTGAATGGCTTTTTATTGACATTGGTACACCACATTTTCCTGTCTTATGTCAGTGTCATAGTATCTTGGCTCATTGTGATAAAAATGTCCAGGTATCTCCTTCTGTTCTGTACACTGCCAAAGCCGGTGACAGTTTGCATGAAGTTTGGGCCCATATCTGAAATTTGACTTTTCCTTAATTTAAAAATTTTATTTTTCAAAATGAGATAAAATGCTAGATTCTACTAGTTTAATAAAGTTATTACTTTGTAAAAATAATTACTTTAAAATATACAAAATTCCATATTTAGGCTGTTTGTCTATAATTTAACATTTTTTTCTATACCACGTAACATTTGGTGTGCTAATGTTTTACAAAGGGAAAAACTAAAGTCCATAGGATTTATAACCTTTTTAAGGCTACACACGGATCTGGTGCCAGCTCCTCAAAGCCCAAGTCCTTTAATTGTTTAATTATCACTTTCATCTTTATTCATGTTTTCCACTGCTTTTGGTAACCAAGGACAAAGAATATTTTATATAATCTCTACAGTGCATGTACATGTGCATACATGTACATATGTCAGTACCACATTTAATTATGTGAAATATGTATTTTATATTATTAAATATGATATTGCCATATATGTACCAGTTACGTGTTCACACAGATGTGTCCATTAGATTTATGTACATGTGTGCATATATGTATAAGTACTCTCATTCATGGCTTGATTTAGAATTAGTTTTATGATGTCCTTTCACTTTCACTTGAATTAAGAAATATTTTAAATTGCTTTTTATCACTTTGTATAGATTGAGATCTTCCTCCCTCCCTTCACTTTGGGAAAATTTGTCCAAAATTTAAGAGTTGACTTATTCTTGTGCTGATTCTTCTATAAACCAAAAGTCCTTTTGAATGTCTTTCACAGTTGTTTCCAGATTCCAGTTGAATCTTTCATTTGATTTAGCATTCCTGGTACTTTTCTTAATGAGGAATTAATGTAGAAAACATTCTCAGGACAAAAACTCGTTAAAGCTATGCCTATTTTAGGATATTAGTAACAATATCCTAAATGAGTGGATGTATTCATAACCTTTTGTGACCTTGCCCCTGAGTTGTATTTTTAGTGGCAGTTCAACAAGCCTTGCTAGCATGTGCAACTTGAAAGTAATTAACTGCTCTTTCAGCCTGGCTACATAAATGCCTTAGGATGTACTATAAAAGGCCCATTTCATGTCTTGGTTCAAGGAATCGCCTAATGATATAAATTGATGTTAAGTCATTGTGAGTTAAGTCAGAACTGTTTAAAGAAATGAAGAGCTAGCACAAAGTTATAGTTTATAAACAGTAGTAACAATGTTTTAGTAAATTTGTATTACATTTGTAGTCCCTCAGATAACATTGATTCAAAATTTGGTGTCTTATTTTGACTCAGTCTAATGAGATTTCCCTAGCTGTTTTAAAAACTTAGTATGACTTACCACACCTTGAATATGAAAAAAAGAACCAAGGATACCTCAACCCAACAAAGGGAACTGATGATGTTGCTGGTTTCTTAGTCTTGTTAACAACTGTGCGTTATCTCAGAGGCAGACCTCAGGTGGTGCTAGCTTTCCTGAGGTCCTGCTCAGTAGGGAACGTGGCTGTGGTCGATTAGCTATGTCTGTGAGAGGAGAGAAGTTGAAGCAAGCAAGCTAGCATGTGCCAGTGATAGGATGTAGCTAGCTTTGTTTCCACGCATATGTATGAGTATATTAGTCCATTTTCTGTTGCTTATAACAGAATACCTGAAACTGGGTAGTTTATAAAGAAATGAAATTTATTTCTTACAGTTCTGGAGGCTGGGAAGTCCAAGGTCAAGGGGGAGCATCTGGGGAGGTCCTTCTTCCTGGTGGGGACTCTCTGCAGAGTCCCAAGGCTGTGTAGGGTGTCACATGGTGAGAGGGCAGAGCATCATAATGTGCTTTCTTCTTCTCCTTATAAAGCCGCTAGTGCCACTCCTGTGATAACCCATTAATTCACTAACTCATTGATCCGTTAATTCATGAATGGATTAATCCATTCAGGAAGGCAGAACACTCACAATCCAAACACTTCCTAAAGGCCTGACCTCTCAACACTGCCACATTGGGGACTAAGTTTTGGACTTGAGCTTTGGAGGAGACAAATATTCAAAACATAGCAATGAGCAAAATGAGGAATTAAAAACAAAAACACACCAAAAAGGCACAAACCACCTGTGGAAATATTCTTGAAAAAAATCATTAGGTTTTATGTTTTTCTGAGGTGGCAATTTATTGGGGTGGAAATACGTTATTTTGTACAATGATCTCATTTATCATGTGTGATGCCACTCGCAGTGACATTGGCAAATGGAATACCTTCATTTGGTGCTCGGAGAGCCGTTCAACCAGCACGTAACTAATATACTGGGAGTACTGTTTCTGGTAAGATTGTTGATCTCTCCCTTCTCAGACGATGATGTGGAAAAAGAGTCAGTCTTGAGTTTTAAAGAATGAGAAAGACTTTCTTAGGTTGTAAAGCGTGTTTGCTATGGATTTCTTACAGTTTTATCAAGCTCAGCCTGGCTTGTTTCTTGCTTCAGAGTTTCCTCTTTATTTACTTATTAATAAGACTCACGAGTGGAAGTTCCCTGAATGGCAGCAGTATGGACTTGATTCTCCAGAATGCTCAGTTCTCCTGTAACTGAGGAGTCCATTGTGACAGCTTTTCGGGAAACGGGTCCACTCAGAAATGTATTTATGATGAGATAAACTATAATGCCAGCCATAGTTTTAAAGTGATGATATCTTTAGAATATAACTAGAAAACTAAATTTAATGATGTGAAGAACTAGTACCTTTGATGATTTTAAGGACATTCTCAATAAGAAGGAAGATCATGAAGTGCTTCCTAGAGCTTGCGCTCTACCACTTGAGAGAGCTTTCACTGTTATTTTTTGTGAGGAAAAAAAATTCTTTGATGTCTCTGTAACTGTCTGAGAAAAGTGGATTTGTCCTAAAACAAATTACACCTACTTACACAAGCCTGGGTTTTTAAATATGGTTTATTTCACAACTTTGAATGTTGTGAAAACCTTTATCAGTATGCTTTTTCTTATCCACCTGCACAAAACCATTGCCATGAATTCATCTGAAATGTTAGTGTCTCCTGTGTTTTAATACTTGTCACATGGTCGAAGCCAGGGTCTGAGAGCCGGCTCTCTGGTTTGCCTTTCAGAACCACCAGTCCCCATTGCCCCGCCTCAGCTCGCCTCAGTGGGAGCGACCTACCTGTGGATCCAGCTCAACGCCAACTCCATCAATGGGGACGGGCCCATTGTCGCCCGCGAGGTGGAGTACTGCACAGCCGGCGGGAGCTGGAATGACCGGCAGCCAGTGGATTCCACGAGCTATAAAATCGGACACCTTGACCCAGACACGGAATACGAGATTAGTGTGCTCCTCACCAGGCCAGGGGAGGGCGGCACGGGATCTCCTGGGCCACCTCTGCGGACAAGAACAAAGTGTGCCGGTGAGTGGGAGAAAACTGCAGCTTCCATCGTGGTCTTTCTGGGGTGTTGCTGGCAGCCCTGGGGGTTGTCAGGTGGCCAACGTGCTTCCCAGCTCTATCAGCATCCTGTGTGCAGACAAAAATCCTCTTAGCCTGTGAGTGGTGGGTTAGCAGCTTGTGAATGTTGGGGCCAGTGGCCTCGAGGCTTGGTATTGCTCAGCCGGCCTCCACCCCTCTTCTCCTGCTCTTCGTTTGCGCCTCTCTCTGAGCACTGGGCAACTCATTCAGGAATCGTCCCTGACATTCACAGAAACTGTCCATTTTGATGATGTTCACTAACAAGTCAGAACCTCTTACTGTGGTCCTTTTGTTTTATGTTCAGAGTTAACATGCTTGTAGCCTGGAGGGGCACTGGAATATCCACCTGAGTGATAGTTTTAAAGCTGTTTTATTAATGGATATTTAATGGAGGGGCTGCTGGTCAGTGACTTGGGCCCACTAGTAACATCAGCAAGAGTGATCTGTGGGCTGCATGCAGTCTTCAGTTTCTTAGATTATAAAATTCTAATTGTGCTACAACTTAAATAAAAGTAGGGTTCATGGAGAGAGAAATGTAAAGTCTTATAAAAATCCAGACCTGAACAATGTTCCCATTAGAGGTTGTAGTGTTGTTTCCGAATGTCTACTCTTGGTCGAAAGTACAGAGGAATAATATATTGGTATATTAGTCAGGGTGCTCCAGACAGATAGAACCAATAAGATATGATATAGCTACATGAGAGGGGATCTATTAGGGGAATTGGCTCATGTGATTGTGAAGGCCAAGAAATCCCATGATAGGCTGTCCGCAAACTGGATGCCAGTGGCATGGCTTAGTCCAAGTCTGGAAGACTCAGAACTGGGGAAGCCAATGGTGTGATTCTCAGTCTGAGACCAAAGGCGTGAGAGCTCGGGGTGCCAGTGGTATAAGTCCTAGAGCCCAAAGGCTGAAGAGCCTCAAGCTCTGGTGTCCAGGGGCAGGAGCTTAGAAGAGTGGATCCTAGCTGCAACAGATAGAGTGAGAGATTTGCCTTTTCCTCTGTTTTTGTTCTCTCTGGGCCCCCCAGTGGATTGGATGGTGTCCACCCATACTGAGGGTGGATCTCTCCCACCCAGTCCACTCAGGCCCACATGCTAATCTCTTCTGGAAACACCTTCATAGACACACCGCAAAATAATGCTTTACCAGGTTTCTTACTCTAATCAAGTTGACACTTAAATTAACCATCACAATTGGAATACCGATGTACTCTTTTGCCATTTAAATGAAGAATCCCTGTATTGAATTGTGTGCTGAGACGAGGAGATTTTATAAATCTTTATGGAGTTAATTCTTCAGATAGCATTATTTAAGACATTTATTAATATATTTTATTTATTTTTCAATTTTTAAAACTTCATAGCACAGTCTCTGACCCTATCTGGTAGGACTAAGAAAAATTATTAAACCTTAACAGTTGTAGCTGTTTTTATTTTTTCTTCATAATTTGGATTATACTGTTTCCACAGGTTCAATACTCATGGGAAAATCATTTAAAAACAAAAAAGATTTTCTTTAGAATCTTCTGGGGATACATGCCATTGGGTGCAGTGACTGGCTTATGTTAGCAGACTTTGCTATTTTATGCATTTTGCATCTGTTTCCCAGACCCTCCACCCCGTGTCCTCATAGCACCCTCTGTGCAGTCTCTGGAATAAGAACTGCTGTTCTGGATTGGTGGTTCCCACCGCCCGGTTTGGTGGTTCTAAAGAAAAAGGAATTTCATGATCCTTTCTCTTCCTTTCTTCTCTAAACTCCTTCATCTCCTTTCTCTCTTTGGTTGAGTAAATTCCTTCCTTGTTGTGCAATAATTTCTTTTTTTTTTTTCCTATATAAAGATGACTGGTAAGGGGATCTTAACCCTTGGCTTGGTGTTGTCAGCACCACACTCAGCCAGTGAGTGCACCGGCCATCCCTATATAGAATCCAAACCCGCAGCGGGAGCGTTGCTGTGCTCCCCAGCACTGCACTCTCCCGATTGCGCCACGGGCTCGGCCCTGTTTTTATTTTTTTTTGAAGATGACCGGTAAGGGGATCTTAACCCTTGGCTTGGTGTTGTCAGCACCACACTCAGCCAGTGAGTGCACCGGCCATCCCTATATAGAATCCAAACCCGCAGCGGGAGCGTTGCTGTGCTCCCCAGCACTGCACTCTCCCGATTGCGCCACGGGCTCGGCCCTGTTTTTATTTTTTTTTGAAGATGACCGGTAAGGGGATCTCAACCCTTGGCTTGGTGTTGTCAGCACCACGCTCAGCCAGTGAGCGAACCGGCCATCCCTATATAGGATCCGAACCCACGGCCTTGGTGTTATCAGCACCGCACTCTCCCGAGTGAGCCACGGGCCGGCCCTTGAAATAATTTCTTATAATATCTTGTCATTTGTTGTAATGCAAACAATAGCTATGTGTAATGTTGTCTATATCATGTGACAATATGAGAATTACTTTCAAATCTATTATTTATTTTTCCACTGCCTTGTGAGGTCTCCAGGGCAGACACTGTGATCCTCATGTTACAGATGGAGAATTTGAAGCCCGTGTGAGTCCCTGTCCACCTCTAAGCATGCTCTGTATGAAATGAGTTTAGTGTTATTTCATTTTAGTGTCATTTTAAGGAGTCCTGTTTTGGGCATGGCAATATATAGTTTTCTTCTCTCTCCAAAAGAAGGTTAAAATTTCATTTTCTGGACTGGAGAGAGAATGTGATCTGTTTCATTCTTGTCACTAGCAGTCCCACCTACTTAGTGTTGCCAGACCTGTTCTTTTATACACAGTTTTGTCTTTTGGTTTTGTGCCTGTACATTTTAGTTATTGAGACATTGTTGTATATATTTCCTATACTGGTTATAGTGCATGTGTCTCTGTTTTCAGAAAGCCTTTTGATACCACTGCATGATGTGCAAATAAATGTATAATTCTCAGAGATGCAGGGTACCTTTTATAACAGATTGTCACTTCTTTTTCAGAAACAAAAACCAATTTTGAATTGATATTTGTGTGCCAACACTGTGCCTTACAGTATTAAGCATGACCTAAGCAGGGAAGTCTAATGACGAAGCACCCTTTCCTCTTACTCTTTGCAACCTGCAGTGGATGGTATTTGTGGTGTGCATTCCTGGTGTGTCATGCACTGGCACGGGATTTTTTTGAAAAGCTGTAGTTGAGCAAGTCAACCTTAGAAAATAGAGGAAATGTTAGGTGAGAGGGTCAAAGTTAGAAATAAGAGGGGAAAGTATGTTAGGTGGGTAAGGAGAGTGAAGTCAACTGAGACTTTTTACTGTAGGACGACGTACGGTTCACCCTTGACCTGAGGCTTTTGAGGAAATCTGCAGGTAAGATCGGTAATCGCTGTTGATCTGTGGAATCGTGGAAAGCAAGACCAAGCTAAAGAGAAGAGGACAGATGCTACAAACTGTAGAATAAAAAGTTTGCTCTTGGTCCCAAACTGTTATTCAGGTGGATTGTGAGAATTTACGGTTTGTAAAGAGCAAGTCGTGGATATCATAAACCTGGGAGATTGTAAGCATTCTGCAACAGCAGATAGAAAACGTTCTTGGCAAGACTTGAACAGGGGTGAATCTAACAGAGTGATGAGTAGTAGGAATAAATGTACATTTATCCTGCATGGTTTCAAAAGCCAAGAGTATTAGTATTGAATTAGAGTAGTAAAATCTGGAAGCAGCAGCATAGAGAGAGAGTGAGAATTTGGCTTAAACGTATGTGAATCTACAATATAATCCAGATTGTATTAATCATCCCTGGGATATTGTTGCTTCACCATTCCTTCCTCCCCCCCAGGAATATTCTAATATAATCTTAGGTCGCATTAGCAAAGCAAAATGCCCATGTTGAAGTGGGTCATAGCCTTATTCTACCAGTGCTAGTTAGGCTCCGCACAATAATTGTTGCATTTACTTCTGGTCTCTGCATTTTAAGAGAGACAGCATAGAATAGATTTTGCCCAGTGGAGAGCAACCAGGATAGGGATGGTTGTGGAACCTTGCTGGACCAGTGAGGAATGGTGGAGAGAGCTGAGAATGGGGATGATGGGGTAGAGCAGGTTCCCGTGTGATTTGACAAGTGCTGAGTCACGAGTAGTGAGGTCTTGTGGCTTTGTGCAAGCGAACCTGACATTGTAAAAGGTGATTTTTATATTCAGAAGAGGATTGAGCTGGCTGACCATGTCTCCTCAGTATGAAGATTCTGTGATTCATTTGTTGTTCTCTTTCTGATGAAATGATCTACAGTTTCACTTTTGTTTTATCCTCGGCCACATACTCCATAATCATGCTTATCAAGTATTGCTCTTGGGGCCGGTGGAGGTCTGCAATGACCTTTCCGAAAATCTGAGAAAGTGGGGTAAATAGTGAGTTTTTATTACAGCTAAATAGATTTAATTGAAAGGACTGACTCTTACTCTGAGATTTGCTGTCTGGTTTTTCTACTAAAATGTTACTTAATTTATGAAAAGACAGTGTTGGTGGGTGCTAGAGCCGGGGTCAGTGGCTGAGAACACGGTCTCTGAGATCAACAGCCTTTTGTGAGTTCTGGCTCTGCCTGGATCTGTCCATGCGATGGTAGGAAAACTACCAACCTTCTCTGGGCCTCTGTAGCCTTATCTGTAAAACAGGGATGATAATCACATTATGTATCTGATAGTGTTGCCTTGAAATTTTAACAAGCTAATGCATATCAGGTGCCTAGAAAAGAGCTTTACATATGGCAAGTCAAAGCTAACTGCCACCTTCTCTGGGCCTCTGTAGCCTTATCTGTAAAACAGGGATGATAATCACATTATGTATCTGATAGTGTTGCCTTGAAATTTTAACAAGCTAATGCATATCAGGTGCCTAGAAAAGAGCTTTACATATGGCAAGTCAAAGCTAACTGCTGTTGAAAAAATTTTTATCTTTCAGCATTTTCATTCAGAAGAATTAGACAC